ATGTGTGTAGTGCTTACAAAGAAGTATATTAATTAAAGTATATATCAAATGCTGCCCCGCTGTAAAATCTACTATTTTTATAACTAGTAACATATTAAACGATAAAAGTTAAAATAGCAACGCATTAATGTAACATCGAGTTTTAAATAATATTATTCACATGAAATTAATTTTTACTATACAGAGTGCTCAGTAAATAAGGAAACAGGTCAGTTTTTACAAACAATGTAAATAATAGAAACTCGTTTATTACTTTAATAAATTTTTTTACTAAAATATTTAATACATCTGCTCTCTATTTTTTACAAATTAATTTGCGAAATTGGGGATTCACTCAACAATGTTAAATTATAAATTATTTTGTACGTAAATACGATTTGATAAAATTTTACTAATGGACTATTAGGAGGTTTCAGGACTTTCAGTTCATGATTCATTAGACATTATATCAAGCAAACTAGGTAGTCATAAAGAAATAAGTTCGGTGAATTAAATTCTTACACATTCCAACAATGTGTCGGTTCTATTGAAAATGGTAACATTAAATTATTCAAGTATCGTGACAATTGTCTGTCGAATTATGTTATTACTTTTGATTGAAAAGTTTCTGTGTGTGCAGTAGACAGCTGTGTTGGTGGCGGCGGTCATGACTATGCACATAGTGCGCCAGTCTGTCTGCGCGCGTTCCAAGTTTTTCTTGGGCATAAGGTGTTGGAAAAAAAACCGTTTCATTGGGCATATACCTACGACTGTCCATTAACGTACACACGTACTTACAATGTACATATATGTATATATTTATAAATTCATACGTATATGTGTATTATAATACGAGTAATATTCACAGAGTCCTTTCAATGAATTGTTGGTGGTGTGTGTACCTGTTTAGACTCCAACTGTCAATCATTTGACAATGGCTTTATTACAATCCCTGTGGCCATTGTGAGTGTCGAATTTTTTCCACGTCTCATTTTTTAACGAAAGAATGCGACGACGCGCTGGCGTTTTTAAATGTTTTATTGGATTCCTCCGCCATAGCCGCATGATTTTAATATTATTATGAAAATATTCTACATATATGTCGTTGATCATTCGGTACACTACAGATAGAAAGAAAACAAATATTATCACTATACACCTCGATGACGTGATGCATTGTGAGTGAATTCGTTTTAATAAAATATTATGTCAATGGTACTCGATCAACCACAATCATGAACCTTGTGCGTCAAAGCGTACAGATAGAATTAGTTTAGTAAGGGTGATAATTTATTTATCAAGAGGTTACAACGAAGACATTAATTACTAAATTGTTTTATGATATAAACCCTATTATGTTTTCAAATTCTGTTTTTAGTTTTATTTTATCTTTAGATTAAAAATCTTTAAAAATTAAGTAAAAATATTCTGTATGTTATAAGGATTTGCTTTTAAAATGTTTTTAACGTATAAACACTGGGGTTCACTTTCATATTTAACTCAATGACGAGTTAAACATATTTTATGAAGGTAGTAAACACTACACTTTTGCAAACGTGATGAGTCCTGTAACGTGACATGAATTGGTATGCCAGAATCTGTTGAATCCTTTATCATGACGTTCTTTTATACCGGGGAAGCAATTATTAAGACGCTTTGGACTGATTTTCAATTTCCTGTTGGCTTTTATGGTCGATTTTTCTGATTCAATGACCCATTTTCGGACACCTCTTTTACATTAGCTACAATTGTGTCCGGAAATCGTAGTCGCTTAAATACTACGGCTTAAGATACATAATACTATTATTATCATCATTATTGTTATTGTTCATATTGTTGTGTTTGAGACTACCTGTCGTTTAGTCATTCGTTTACAAATCGGTTGTTGTCGACTCACGTACATTGAAGGTTGACGACTGACATAAATTTCGGAAGTGATTTCTTATACGTTGAATTGCCTTAGCCGGAAAGAGCGCAATAATAAAAGCAACGAATCCACAACTAGAATGACTCAATTTATATTGTAACTATTTCTAATTAGCTAACAATAGTCTTGATTTTTGTAAAATACAGGTCATAAAATATTGTTATCGACGACAGAAAACTTGTCAGAGTTCTTGTCATGAACGACATGCGCAAATATTTTAGGTAATAAGACTAAATAATTTTGAGGTTGTTTTCCGTTAACAAAATATGATGTAAATGTAATATAAACTATTTGTTTTTAGTTATCGTCTTCTCTTATGTGAATGGAATTTTTTTGTGGTAATGCCGAAACAGGTGGGATGTTTGTTCCTGGAACACCACTACCTCCATCGACATCATTCATGCACAAGCACATATAATAATAATATTGTAGACAACGTGACTAAATGATACTTCTGCGTCGGTTGGGCCAGACATTCTGTCTGCAATCCGATTCCTCGTGAGTGATCCTCTATACCAATTTCATACAAACACACGGTCGACCTAACCCACGCCCGAGTACATAAAATATTGTAATATGGTTACTACAAGCCTATTGATCATTTTTACCCAAGCCCATTAAAATGTTTCGGAGAAACAATTAGTCAACACGCCTAAAATCATCTCGAAACGGTAGCGATCCACCAAATGATATATGGGATTTATTTTGTAGGAGAGTTTTCCTTTATTGATTATTATTGGTAATATTTACTTAGTTTTAGTTATTTGGAAATAGTTGGCAGTTAAAAATGTTCAAAATACAAATTTTAAAAGATTTATACACAAAAGTTTGCATATGCTATTATAAAAATACTTTCAATAGAAACTATTTAATTTATTAGCGAATCTATCCAAAATAAATATTTATACCGCATTTCAATTTACCTACATTTAATATAGTTTTTGTAATATTGAGCCTTATAGATAAAATTATTTTTAACTATACTTGTAAAATGTTCTTAGATCAATAGTAGAATTTTTTGTTTATTTGAAGACAATTATTGGCGTGTATCTTTTATAATTATAATTGTACCTATAGTTAATTGCATGTTTGCCATATAACTAGACATTTTGATAGAGTCAAGGTATTAAAAAACGACTAGAGGGATCATATAAATGTCAGGAATTTTGATAATTATGACTTTTCAAAAAAAATTGATCATACCTTGTATTTGGCTTGTATTTATCTTTTTATTTTTGGAAATTCTTTATAACAAGTTTTTTATTGAGGTAACGTAGGCCATGATAATATACTCTTTCTTTTTTTGAAATCCCAATTGGTAAACAAATATAAACAAAAATGATGACATCATCCTCACCGTAGAATAATGTATACTTACGCTTCTAAAACCTGGTTTACATTTTTTTAAATTATATTAAAAATCATTAAAAAGTCATAGGGTTTCATAATTTTGAACTTAAAACAAACCTCAATTTTATTATTACAGTTATGTAATAAATGTAAAATCATTCTCGGATATTTTTTTAACTTTTAACAAAAATTAAATCTTGTAGTAATTTTATAAATTATTTTTAATTTGTCTTTGACTAAGGTGGATCAATTAACGTATAATGAGACTAAATTTTGCCGTTCTTATATTTTAATTTTTCCAAACAGTTGAATCCGGTAAAAACATCTTTCCTGATAACAATAATTATACTTAGACAAATTAAAAAGTAGTCTTATTTTATTCTTTTAAAATTTGACTTCCATTAAATCTCGATAGCTCTCTGAGATTAATCTCTAAATTATACGGTCTTCATTGGTCAAGCAAATAATGCCCTTTTTTCATCTTAAAAATTTTATTATTAGCCAAAAATATTTGTTAAATGTGCCCACCTTAATTATGACTACCATTTGTATTTCTTAATATATCTTAATTCTATTCTAATTTCAGATTTTATATCTATTTACAGTTTATTTAGCTTCAAATAAACCTGACATAGCTTCAAATAAAAATAATTTAAAGCAATTATTGTTTTCTTTGTAACTATTTATGAACATTTTCAATTTTTTTTACATTATTTCTAATGAAAATTTTTAAGGCTTAATGATCGTTGTTTTTATTTAGAAAAATAGCTCGAATAAATTTTTGTTTGTATATTAAACTTGGCTGAAAATAGTTTCATTCCTAATTTAAATAATTTTAAATAGGTCCAGATAATTTATATTAAAGACGCAGAACTTAAATGCTTGAAATTTTGGCAAAATAAGGGCATACTTATCCTACACCTAAATCTCCCTTAACCCTATTGTTGATAGTATCAATAATAGATAAACTTGATACATCATTTATGTAAAAAATATGAAATGTTAAATAAAACGAATTTTCGTTTAGTTTTTTTTAACAAGAACAATGTTAACATTACAATTTATAAATTTTCTTTCAATAATTTTCTAGTATGCATCTTTTAGTCATTCTTTATTTTTTGGGGTCCTTGAATTATGTGAAATATTATATTTAAGAAGTTTAATTTGTAGTTATTGGGTAATATTAAATTCTAAAAGTATATTGGATTAAATTGAAAGTTTTACTGAGCTAATCTTCCAGGCAACCAATAAATGTGAATTCGCTTTCATGGCAACCGTTACTCGATTTATTTTACACTACGTCACCATAGCGACAAGTTCAACGACGGGCGCTTGTCAATACTGTCATTGCTGACACCATGGGAGCAAATAGCTTAGTTAACTTTTCACATACACCGTGTTTATTCATCTTTACACATTATTACATCTTTATTAAAATTAACGAATAAAATTTCAAAAAATTCAATAGTGTTTTTTAAAATACATCAATTCAATGCGTCTAATTGTAACAAGTTTCTTTCAATAAATACATTTTTTGTCGATTTAAGGAGACCTAAATCGTGTAGCCGTTTTACATTTTTTACGGTTGTTATTTGAATAATAAAAAGTTAAACATTTTTTAGACATGGAAAGTTTTTATTGAACACCATATATTTGAACATTAGTACAATTAAATATTTGAATATTTTTAATAATTGTTAAAAAAATTTTTTTTTGTATTCGTTCTTATAAAAATTACAATAATTTAATATAAAATTATTAATTTTAATTAATGTATACCTGAGACCCCTTGAAATATGTTTACCAAGTAGTATATACAAGTATACCTCGCAATTATCTTAAAATGTAAAAAATCTATGATTTTCCTATATTAATGTTATTTATTTGCATTATTTGAAAAAAGTAACTATTCTATAAACAAAATATGTTAATTTTTACATAACGCTAGCCATATTCCATATTTTAGGTTCTTTTAAGTATACGATGACTTATAACCGACTAAATTGTGTAGATTTCAATAATAGAGCAAGTGAACCTAAAATTTTGATCTGTTTTAATGTAATGTACATTAAAACGTTTTACTCGTTACAAAAAAAATGATATATGTGTTTTATAATAATCACAATTATCTCGAAATTTGTCCTAATAATTGAAATTAACGCAATTTGATAAAGACAACTAGCAGATTTAAATAGGCCAGTTAATTCATTAGATTAGTATTTGACACCGCAGGAGTGTCAACGTTTGATCTACTCAAACAAATAGCTGACCATTAAGGCTTGTTTGATTGACAAAAAAAACTTGAGTTTCAAACTGTAGGTTAAAAAATATATATTCTTTAAGCCTTAACTTTGAAGTATTGGAGCTTGCTATAATTTATGATGAGCCAGTGTTTTTATATTTGAAGCGTGTTGGACACACATCGGTCGAATTTGCTGTCGAGAAATTGTGTGTTGTGATTACTTATGCTATCGTTGTGCTACACCAAGTTTTTGTCGGTCTTCTCTCTATGTCTGCATTGCCGCCGCCATCTTAGCGTTTTTTAGCTATAAGCTCTATGGGGCTTGGGAGACAGTAGTTTTTGTATTCATTTTGTTGTAAAAGTAAAAATATCACCTTTGCGATTGTCGCACCCACAATTGGGTCTATATATTTTCTGAGATACATCACAGTACCGTTCACAGCATATTGTACACGTTGGTCAGCTATGCATTCGACTTCAATTGATCCTTTCAATATTCAACATTATGATCAGCCGTTTCAATTAGCCGATAAGTATAATGCTTGTTCATCTTCTTTCTAAGATTTACTCACACTTATAATTTAGTATTTGTTTATATCAGCGCCATTGTGGCGTTAGTATTAAATGTCTCCTCTATCCACATTGGTGTATATAAGATTTTATGATTCTTGTGTAATACATTTAATTGTTATAATTATATATTGTAAAATTCATTCTACATTCATTCATTCATACAGTCCACTCACCTTATTCCTTTTCCTCGACACAGCCTGACTTAAGACAAAATAAAACAACGATCGTTAACGAACTCGCGTGAATACCACCAGGCGTTGTGTTCATTCAAAGCGTAATGTGTTACTACATAAACAGATTTGCCTGGGAAGTTTGCAAAATGTATTTGATTAAATCGATAGAAACATTTTTGTTTTGTATGAATTATCAATTAACTCAGTATAGTTCCTCTTATTTAACGTGTCCATGTACTTATTTTTGCTCATCAAAACATGTCTCGGTTTATCAAAAATCGTCAATGTAGATATGTAGGTAATGTTGTAATCAATGACGTATTTAGAGGGAGGGGCACAGGGGCACGTGCTCCCCTCATTGTTTGAGTCATGTAAATATTTTATCAAGCAATGTAATAATGTATAATAACATGGGTTTATGAAATGTTAGTCGATATAGATGCTCTCGTGGAGCAAAATTTGACGTACAGTTGTCACCTAATTTTGAAGTGTTTATTACGTAGAGATACACACTGTATAAAACGAAATATATTTATTAATAAAAACACATTATAGTAAAATTAATACCTTCTCCGCTTCGCATCGAAGCTAAAATGGATTCAAAACAAATAACAAATTTTTTTTCAAAAAAATCTAAATTATGTATTTAATAACAAAAGTTATGAGCAAAAAAAATGTCGTTTTATGGTACCTTTTACTCATGAACATTTTGTATGCCCCCCCCACCCCAAATTATAAATTTCTAAATACGCTACTAGTTGTAATGTATTGATGATTTACATCTTTCTGCAACGAACCAGTCCTCCAGAATCTGTAATTTCCCAAGACATGTTGTTTAATATCTTATCAATTATTTTCGACTTAATGTGGCACAACCCATCGGAACCTTTTAAAAGTTTATTGCTGAGATACATATTATAAAATTTTGTCTTATCTTTTTTTTCTAAAGACCAAGTTTACAACATCGTTGACTTGTGTTTTTTATTAGGGAAAGGGTTAAGTGCAGTGGTTTTCCTTTGCCTTGTGCACTAGGGACATAATGATAGTAATAATCATACGCTATAAAAACTGACGTATGATCACCTATCCGTGAGCCTACAGCGGCTTTATTTTAGAACTTATGAGTAACTATTGAGCGCACTGCATTCATACAATAAAAT